TTTCCGATGATCCCTCGACAATTCCAATAAGCGACGCGAAGGCTGGAGGCAGGCAAGTCGTTTCGGGTTCCGTTGGCCATTTTAGTGTTCAGATGTCTGTGCAAGATTGAGGTTTCTAAGCGCATCGACTACTCGCTGGAGTCCTTCTCCAATTTGGGAGTTTCTTATTGATTCCGGAATGTTACCTGCAAGGTGATTGATTAATGTAGATAATGTAGAAAGAAAGGCAGTTTCCTCAGGCTGTGCGCCACCAGGATTCTGATAAGCAGGGGGAGGGGAATGCGGGGAAGGATATTGAGGAGGACCCGGGTTTAGGAATGGGTTATTATTCGGAGGGTATTGAGGGGGATAGGGGTAAGGTGGGTAGGGGTAGGGGTAGTTATAATAATAACCATGTTCGTTATTGAAGGCAAGGAACGGGTGAAAGTTAAAGTTTTCCGTCCTACCGTTGGGCGCGAATAAAACCGAATTACAGACGTTACGGAATTCTTGTTGTCTACTCTCGTATTGCCCTCGCGCCGAACGCTCGCCACCGGCGGAGTGCGAACTCTCTCCCACGGATGGCGGTCCTCTTTGGGCATTTGGACCCCGCCCGTGACTGCTAGAATTATTGTTATTATTATTGGGAGTTTCATTGGTGGCAACACTACTTCGGGAAGCAGCTGGTTGTTTGCGGGCGGCCGCAGCGTATGACTGTGGCGCACTGTATCTTTCCGGAGGAAGGTCAAGAAGCAGAGCATAAGGATTTTGGTGTATGAATGCAGGGGGTGGCGCCGAGGACGGCTGAAGTTGCGCGGAGGGAGGGAAGCCCAGATGCCGTACATCCCTGGGTGAGACAGCAGAAAAATTCTCTCTAGAAATTCTCTCTAGAAACGGGGCCTAAGGCCTTTGACGGAGATAATCTGGCTTGTGCGTCTACTAAAGGAATGTTTTCCGCAAAAGCCAGCGCATTAATCTGACGCTGTTTAATGTAAACTAGGCAATTAGATGCCGTAGGAAGATGTACTCGTCTTTGCAATTTATGCATATTGGCGGGAGTTGATATCGCGCACAATTTTCTATATTGTCATGCTTTGTCTCACCACAGCGGATACACCTTGACTTTCCCTTACACGCTTCTCCTATATGTCCGTAGCGGAAACAGTTATAACATATAATCACCCTTGGGATGTATGGGGTTACCGGAAGGCGCATTTTGTAGAGAGCAACAGAGTCAGGGAGAACTTGTCCCTCAAAGCGAAGTAGGACCGTACGCGACGGTATATATTGCACAGTGCCATCTACTCTTGTTTTCATGTTCATGCGTCGCACGGATATAATTTTGACTTGAGTCTCTATTGCCGTTAGTAAATTGTCATCACTTATATCTAAAGGAATATCTTTTACTACTCCTGTGCGCATAACTCGAAATGCAGGTATGAACGCTTCTAGCTTTTTTTCCCGTAATTTAGGATGTCCGATGACACTGTTAGCAGCTTTGGCAGTGTAGAATTCAGTAAGGATTTTCCCACGACCAATCTTTTTAACACTCTTAATATCCTGACCTGCTACTGAATTAATTAACTGACTAACCGTCATGGGATGCATATCACTAGAATTTGACGCAGCTATATATTGAACATGCGCAATAAACGGGCCCGCATCCGAGAGGCGATATTTATTCAATTTTTTTGACGGTTTGCTTGAGTCTTTTGTCGGCGGCGTCACGTGACTAGAGGACTGACTACGGTTCTGCTCGGCAACTTGCGCGAGAGGCGCATGTCTTGTTTCAGCCGGTTGACTAGCTAGCAATTCAAATCTATTGGAAACTGCTAATGCCCTACGCGTTGGCAACTTTTTACCTTTGTTTGGTTCTTGCGTCGCATAAATAACTTCGTCTTCGTCTGAATCCGCGGGGGGCGGTCTTTTATTACCTGAAGATTGCTGTTGTTGCTCACCCTCGGTGGACATATTTGATGACTGAGACAAAGATCTTTCGAGAGCCGAGGTCGACTCGTTGCTCGGCATACTACCAGCCGAACCGGTGGCATCCTCTAACTGCTTTTTCTTTTTAAGTTTCTTAAGCATTTTCTTGCTAGGTGCCATGGTACTAACACTATCAGACTCGACCGATTTTAGAAACTGAGCCGGATTTCCGATCGGCGACACACTAGAGCGTTGAACGGGGGAACGAGAACACACCCACGAGTCGCCGGAAGAATCCGTCCCGGAACGCGGGCGTCCACTCGATCTCTCAAAGAAACTATTCGCGTGAGACGTCCATTCCGCAAGCGAAGCGGAAAGTCGTTTATGATTCACAGATCTATCAAGCGACATTGACCGCGGCGTAGCCGGGGCCGATGCCCCGGCTATTACTTTATCACAGTGTTTCACTACTGAGATCCTCACGACTCAGCCGGCACAAAATCAAGGCAAACCCGTACTTGATATACGAGTTATAAGGCAATTAAGAGAGCCGGGCTACACACCACTATGCAAGGACAGAGAACTGCGCGGGCGCAGGAAGGGGGAGACACACGTCCGCACTCGACCACAGCTCGCACGCGAATCCATATACACATACTGGAGTGAGCCTTCCCTAAGAAAACACGTGGTGGGGGTAGTCGCTGTGCGAGAGTGACAGCCATGCGGCTTGGGGATTGCTGCCTCACTTTAATAATGTCAGTTA